ATTCAGTTTCCTCAGCGGTTACGGCAGAGGACGGGAGTGATTTAAATCGGTATTACAAGGCTCTTACTGTTAAGTCCTGCCGATGTTCGCGAATACATTTTGTAATTACGCAGCTTAAATAGATTGCTGGGGTTAATCAGCATTTGGAATGAATATTTTGCTAGAAGCTTTTAGAACGATTTGAAATCTAACCTGTCTTCATATATACAAATGTGTATGAAAATCTTTTTTGCAGTCCTTACTAATATCGTCATAGTCGTAGAATACTGACGGATCTGACATATATTACATATAAAGATCCTTCAGTATTCTACGACTATGACGATATTATAAAAGTAAAAATGAGTTTGTTTGTTTGTTTATTACTTCATAGTGCCTTAACGGCTTAAGTAAACACTATGAAATTTAGTATACCCGTATTACTTTTATATGAGATGGAGAAGGATCATCATCATTCATCATTTCAGCCATTAACTGTGCATTGCTGAACATACGTTTTTTTATATAAGAGGAGTATTGCCAATAGTTGCCTCGCTTGACAATCGGGTTGGCAACCGTAGTTAGACTTTTAGAAATGTTTTAAGAGAGAAGCTGCTGGCCATATTTCTACCACTAAGTTCCTTTAGTCGCCTCTTACGACACACACACACTACACAGAATAGGAAAGGGAGGGGTAGCCTGTTCTATGCTGGGACTACACAGAATATATGTATATGGGAAGGATATAGGCTACTTTTTATCTCCGTCAATGAGCATATTCTGATATTAAACATTTATTTAAGTATGTTAAATGTTATGTTTAACGTTAAGTAAAATCTATAATTTTACTTAATAAATATATTTACATACACAATACGTATTAGCTATGTAATATATATAGCATGAGTACTTTTTTTTAATAGAGTTCTAGTCTGTGTAATTACATAATCTGTGGTCTAGTATTCATGGTAAGGGCTCGATTTATGTACTTATGGGGAGCGAAACGATTCGTTAACATCCACTCGGCTTGTTAATTCGACAGTGAGTGATGTAACATCACTCGACAACGATTACCTCCCAGTTTGCGGAATTGAACATTTATTTACTCTATTCGAGAAATAATGATTAGGGACTTTTCCTTATCTGTTTTTTGAGGTGACAATGAGTTTCAAAATATTCGAGACTTGTTTATATTTATATGGCTAATTATTTTGTTACTAAGAAGAATTATTTTTTTTATTTGTATTAATTGATCTAGATATTCTAAAGAAGAGAGATATTCATATAGAGAGTTAATGAGCTAACTTTATTTATTTATATGCTTTTATATATTAATTTTTAATATAGATATTACGTTATAACAAAAAACAACACAGGCGGACTTACCCCTTAAAGGGATTTTTTCCAGTAACGTATATGATACAACAATAATATGATAATTAATAAATTATTAGTAACTTATTCTTCAATAATTAAAATTAAATTAAAGCTTAAATTATGAATTTAAGCTTTAATTGTGGATCCTCTGCAATTGTGTAGAGATATCGCACCTCTCAGTATTTTTACTGTATATTAAAATAAACATGTCGGTGATTAAAAGTTTGACCATATTTAAAAAAATACCATAAAGGCTTGTCCACAATTCTTCAAAAATACTGTCATCCTTATGTCATAAGCCTATTAACGGCAAGTAAGTATCCTGAGTCCTCAGGAATGGCAACGCATGGGGGGTATCATGGCGAAACAGTATACACTGTTATGTCAATGGTACTGCTCATGTCTATAGGCGACGGTTACCATTTTACATCAGGTGGGCCGTCAGCTTGCCATTCCTGAGGACTAAGGTGTTATGCCTCTGTATCCTGTAAATTCGCTACAATTCAATCTATTTACTCAAATTGTTATGTAATGAACATAAAAAATAATTTAAAGATATTTTTAATTACGAAAGTATCGGTGTGTTGGAGTAACTTTCACTTGAGCAGTTGTTTTATAATATATATATTCTTTTCTTAGCTTTATTTAAGTCAGGATAATTTAAGAATTATATAAAAACATATAAATAAAAGTAAGGAATGTAGATATATAAAGAGTAGATATATATATCTATATTTTCATATGCATATATTTATATAGCAGTTTTCAATGGCAATGATTGCTATAACATGATATTGTATGTACAAATTATATATATAACATAATATTAAATAGGTACTTATTAAATACATGTAGATATTATCGGCAGTCTAAATAATACGATAATCTACACGATACCTAGGTAAAGTATAAGTCGTGGTCGATCATTTTCTAAAACGATTGTAAATATATAGATACTATTTATTGTTTCCTCCAAAAGATTATAATAGTAAACTAATTATAAATACAATCTAAGAAATCGCTAAAAGCGATCTCTTCCAGGCAACCTAAGGATGGAGAGGAGAAATTATAAACACTTTGATCGGAGTATGGGGATGAAAATTCTGTCATTTTTAAATTAATTATATAAAACACAAAGTTATAAAACTTTTAGGTATTTAAAGAAATAAGTAATAATATTTTTTGTGTGGTATAGAATAAGCCAACCCTTCCTCTCTCATGGGTGTCGTTAGAGGCGACTAAGGAAAGGCAAGAGATGGGCAACAGCATCCCTCTTAAAACATCTCAAAAGCCTAACTGTGGTTGCCAATCGGCCTGCCAAGCATGGCAACTACTGGCAAAACCCCCCAAGGGAGAGGTTTATCTTCAATAGTGAACAGTTAAAGGCTGATATGATGTGATGATGATGAATAAAATAAGTATGCTAACTTCACAAATAAGAAAATGACAACTTATTCAGTTAACAGTTCAAATAAATCGAACAATTTCATGAAATGATCGGCTACATCATGATGTGATTAATTCTAAAATCCATGGCAATACATATGATGTGTACATAATATAAAACGTTTAGGTAATGTATGAAATATTATTTGTTGTATTTTTATATAGAATACCTGAATAAATTCAAATTACTGTTAACATGTGTCGTTATATGTAAGAGAAGTGATTAGAGGAATTCAAGTGTACGTATGATTTACACAGAACTAGATTGCTTTAGCAAGTATAACATCAAAGCACGAAACGATAGTACGTGATCTATCATCGACTACTTGCCTACTTGTTAAAGGGTTGGCATTAAGTTTGCACTACAGAGCATATGATTTACCATCAGTTACTTAGCTATGTGTTAAAGGGTTATTATTAACTTTATACTACGGAGTACAAATCTGATAATATTTACAATTTGCATAATTTTTTAGTGTTAGGGTTTTTTTTATAATGTTTTCTGTCGCTATGTTTTTTGCGACAACCTTCTAATCTGTATTTTTTATTATCTGTGTAAAACTGAGGATTTTTTTAATATATAAATTTATAGATATATAAAGTTGTAAACTGTGTAAATATATACGATTGTAAACTAAATGTGTAACTGTGTATAAAACTTTATCGTATTCAAATTTAGTCCACTATTCTTGCTCCATTTTAGTGTTAGGATTGATAGATTCGACCAGATTATAAAAGAACAATTAAACTTTTTATATTTTCGATATTATAACTTAATTCAATGCCAGTTACAATTCACATTCAATGCCAGTGTAGAAAAATTCGAAACAAAATCCTACAAAATGTTTATTACAGAATTATACCGAATCTTCTAGATAGCGTAGTAAATTTAATATATAAAAGTTTCAAGACACGGTATTCAGTGATGTCAATTTCTGAAACCGCTTTTAGCGAAATTTAGTAAATCTATAATTTTTTTTTAAATTTTTATCCCAATAAGAGAAATATAACCAAGTAGGTAGCGTTAGGGAGCAGAACGCTGTTTTCGGGTCAGCTAGTAGTGTAATAATAATTAATTAAGCTTCTTATTAAAATATTCTTAGAAAGACTCGTGCTTAGCAGCAGAATAAAGTCAGGTCGTTGTTACCATTTAAAATTGTTTATTCAGATAAATGTAGATATAATCATCTTAGCAAAAAATATCATTAGGTTTTTTTTTTAATGGATGATAATGGAACGGTAACCCCGCCTGCGCTAACGGTATACGCTGGCGGGGCACCAGTGATAGATGATAGGTGAGGATGAAAAAGCAGGTCAGTTAGCCCATCGTGATGAGTACACTTGGAATTCAGCACGATGGTTTCCAGGGGAGACCACGGGGAGGTCGACCTGTTAGGGTATATTATTAGCAATGGAACTGATAATCCGCATTACTAACAATTCCTTCTCCCCCATTCTCATTAGGTTAGTTACCGGCTTTAAATTCGTGAAAGGTCATATTCATTTATTCAGTATAAATAAACCATTGATTGACAAATATCCTGTTTAGCTTTTTGCTATAGGAAAAAGTAATTCTATACCATTTTCATGTTGTTAGCAATTGGGTTGCTAGTCTTCATTACTATTAATTCTCTTTCCTTATATTTTGAACTAGTTATATCCCGCAGCTTCACTAGTGGTAGTATCGTGATGTTAAATAGTCTATAACTATTCTCAAGAAACGAGCTATCAAATGTAAAAAGATTTTTTTAAATTTAATTAGTACTTTAAGAAATTAGCGCGTTCAAACAAACAAACTTTTCTGCTTTATATATTCGTATTTATGTTTAGGTTGTTTAAAACGATGTTCAGAACATAATTATTTTAATCACGTCATTAGTAAATTTGATTAAACTAAATATAAAGCGCGCTGACTTAAAACTATGTAAAGCTACTTTTCTTTGATATTTTTCTTATTTCAAACTTCTTCAAAATTTGCATATCTACTCGTTCATGTTCAACAACTAATCCGTTAAGGTTGTTTTAAAAAGATTACGTTCATCAAAATGACTGTTTTACTATACTTTTATATTCGTCTGTTATATTTATTCCTTATGTTGTTTTATTCTTTATTTTATATATTGCAAATAAAGTATGCTCATTAATTTATTCACTATGTGTGAGTAAAAAGCTAATTTATTATACTTTTATTTTAACAGGTATTTGACTGCCGACAAGTAACAACAACCAGTGGAATGTTCGAAGCACTTTGCAATCACATAAAATACAGTACAAATAAAGGGAATATCAGGTAATTCAATTATTAATCATATTTATATTTTTTTGGAAAAGTTATATATATATATATATATAAAACTAGTTATGACAAGTGGCTAGAACAGTGAATTCTTTCAAGAGACCTGAATTTCATCAACCGATTGACTTGTTATAACGCCATATACATAAACAAACTCATGCTCATGTTTATAAAATAAGTAAAGATATTATTGGTAAGTAATAACTATATGCATAAAGGAGAATGCTGATTTACAGACTGATCCATATATAACCGCATCGCTGAAACCACTGAATCTTGAAATATATATGTTCTTTATATAGATAAAAGAACATAAAAAAAGTCGTGGGCAAGTAGCTGTTGTAATTATAAATTACTATTTGGGCGTATATTTATATAGCATGCCGTGTGGTCCCGGCATAGAATACGTCATCCCTTCCTTTCCTATGAGTGTCGTAAGAGGCGACTAAGGGAACTTAATAGTCGAGGGATGGGCAGCAGTGTCCCTTTTAAAACATCACCAAAGTATAACTGCAGTTGCCAAACTACTTGCTAAACATGGCAACTACCGGCAAATCCCTCTTAACAAGAAAGGACTGTGTTCAGCAGCAGACAGCTCAACAGTTCAACAGCTGATATTATAATAATAAAAAAATTATTAAAAATGCTATAGGTCGGCCATAACAGTGTTTCCCCAACGCACGGATGGCCAGCACGATTACAGAATATGGAACAGCCAACTCATCAGCTACGCGGGATTCAGGGAGCCCGATGGCAGTGTGCTAGGAGATCCCATGCATTGTGAGTTTACTGAGGTGAGAATCAATAGTTTTATTGAGAAGTTTCTATTGTTATTGTTCATGTAGATATTAAAATTAAACAAATAATAAACTAGATAGATTGAAACTAATATCTAAATACTAGTTGTATCCTGCGGTTTCACCCATGTGAATGAGTATATAAAGTATTTTATGTACTAAGTTAAGATTTAACCTACATGTGTACCAAATTTCATTCATATCCATTTAGTAGTTTTTACGTAAAAGAGTAACAAATATCCACCCATCGTTACAAACTTTCACATTAATAATATTAATATGATTATGATCATAGAAAAAATGTTACTACAAAAAATAAATACACTGCGTTATATCGCTCCAAACTGCAGACACTGTACTATGGATAAAATGAATGAATAAATGAATGGTTTATTTTCTCTTCACAAAAGGTGGTATAAAGTGACAACTTGAGGTACAATTTGATATGAGGACCAATTTTGTGAGAATTTTATGAGAGACTGGTGCTTGCGGTAGGTTTTGAAGACCTTGTAACAAGTCACCAGTGCCCCTTCGCCATGGACTATTATACATATACTTACTTTTTTCTTTGTTAATACTTACATTTTATATATAAAAAGTAATACAAATATATATATATATATATATGTATTTATTTTTCAACATATTTTTAATTACTTTACAATGAATAAAAAAAATACGGGTATAGCTAGTTTCAATATATTTCTTTATGTTATTTTAAACCACCGATGCAAAAAGAGGGGTGTTATAAGTTTGACATGTCTGTGTCAATCCTACATATATATTAATACAATTTTGCATTTATAACAATAGTAGGATTACAAATATATCTAATAATAAAAAACAATAATTTTGTTTGTCACAGCTGTGCTTAAAATTAGGCTGGAAGCCTCCCCGCACGGCATGGGACATTCTGCCTTTAGTACTATCAGCCAATGGAAAGGATCCGGACTATTTCGAAATCCCTCGCGAGCTGGTCATGGAGATTTACATGACACACCCCACGTAAGTAGATCTAATGTTGTTTTATTAAATAACTAACTGAATCCCGTGGCTTTGCCTACATAACATGAATGAAAATAAATATGTATCGTATATAATATTAATTTAAGATATAACCTTTCAATGTACAAAATGTAAATTTAAATTATTTCAGCTTTGTAATAACGTTCAGGTAATTTTAATGCAGTTCGTGTAACAATAGTTGTTTCAAAAAGTAGGTAATGCACATGCTTTATATAAATTTGTTTTAAAAATAGCCTTTAGAGCTTTTACGAGTATTAATGATTTTAAAATTAATTGGACGGCCTAATATAATGTTGAAAGAGGTGAATATGAGTTACTAGTTTTTAATAATAATATAATAATTATTTATTTATTTGCTGAAAAACACGGTATACAGATGCTAGTAATAACATGTTATGAACAGGCGTGTTTTGCGAAAACAATGCCATGTAAAATTTTTACCTGTTGCTTTGTCTGCGTGACCGGGATATGTTTATTGACAAGGACAAAAAGTAATCTATATCCTTCTTCATCTCATATAGTACATATGTGTATACCAAATTTCATATAGTTTACTTTCACATTTATAATATTAGTAAGTATATAAATGGCAGTAAATATGTACTAATTTAATTAGCCACTACATAACTACGAAACAAGTCTGCAAGCCTGTAGTAATTTTTGATAAGTAAATTGTGTACCCGATTTAAGTTAAAAAAATTGTTATTATTATTACATATTTCTTATTACATATTTTTTTTCTTGAGACTTTCTATACTATAAACACAAAAGTTTAAAAGTAAATATTACGAATTAAATAAAACAAGGATTTGTGAATAGATAAATTTTATTAGAATGCAGAAAGAAATATTACATGTCATCGAAATCATTTATAAATGCTAGTCTAAATATATTATAGTATGTGATCTATAAGAATGTATGTATATTTATATTTATATGTATGTTTTTATGATATATAATTTGTATATGTAATGTTTGTTTTTTCTTTATTGTATGTCTTATGAATTATAAGTCAATATCGATACGTACGTGTAATTGTTTATTTGCAACAATTTTCGAATTTTTCATTGTATAATTATATTTCTGTTTCGTTAAAGGTTGACTGGGCAAGAATGTTATATAGTATTAAGTCCGTCTTTTGTACCAGACATATTTTTAGAATGTAGTTAATAAAGAATATATAAATAAAAAAATAAATATAGAGTAAAATTCTGTCTTTACCATTTTGTCAAAAGTTATGGGATTAGGAAGACACATTGAATGAGTTTTGTCTCACGGGCGGCTGTAATCTATTTTCCCCTTTTATGTGAATTGTTGTGTGTAGGTTGTTGTACTTTGTGTCCAGGAAGTAAACTTGATTGAATTTGAAGTTGAAGACTTTGCCACCTGTGTGTAAGAGGCAACGTCCTTGACCTGGATAGCTGTAGAAATATTGGTTCCAATTTATTTCAGATCCAGTAGTTAGGAGATTGTTTATCATCTTAAATACTTTATAATAAAATTGTAAATAGATGATATCTGTATTTGAAAGATATTTAAGAAAAAATAATATATGGCGTTTTAATAGGACTAATAAAGGCCAAAATAATAATTTTCAGATATTTTGTCCGCCTGTCTGTTTGTTCCAATATCACGTAAAAACAAACTGCATCAATTGAATATGGATTGCACAGTTGTGTTCCGGAAGGTACTTATTAAAATCATATGACATTTATTTCGATACATTGTCCAGAAATGGTCTACTTAATTAGTTGTCTTATTTCTGAAACCACGAGTACAAAGTAACAGACAAATCCCATGTACATATATATTATTATATAATACTTTAACAGTAATCCTAGCAATTAGCAGTAAAATTACAATGTTACAAGAATAATTAAACATTTCTGGTAGATAGAGAACACTCTTTAATATACAGCTTAAAACATGCTAATACTATGTATGGACTCGACTACGCGCCGTGTCGCTTCCCATCACAGATTTATGCCGCATAAAAACTCGGAATGCATATTGAGGACAGAGTAAAGGGCCGCAAATAGGCGAACAGGCCCATACAAGCTGAATTGCTTATCGTAAACCTTTGGTCCAGTGATCTTCAATCTACGTTTATTACCCATAAGTCTAGGCTATTCAATAACGTTTCACTATTGATAATGTTAACAGGCGATTATATTGCGTATAAAATTGTTTAAATAAATACAAGAATTTATTGAAAATTGTACTGACTTCAACTATTTTTTTTATATAACTTAGAATGGTAAACAGGCTAACAGCCCACCTGATGGAAAGTGCTAACCGTCGTCTATAGACATGAGTAGTACCATTGACATAACAGTGTATACTGTTTCGCTCATGATACCTCCCATGTGTTGCCATTCCTGACGATTCAGGTGTTATTCCTCTGTACCCTATAAATTCATGCCATATCCCACTCCTCAATCCGAAAACAGCCATGCAAACACAACTGTTTTACGGTAGAAACACGAATGGGACAGAGGTGCTCAAGCAAATGACTTTTGTACAAAGCCTCCCTCTGCTCTCTTATGTTCTATGGTGTCAGTTTTAAATAAATAATTATAGTTGCTATGTACATTCGCAATATCATTGTCAATAAGGATAAAACGCATCCTGTACACGTATATAAATGCAGGATTTAGTCTCTGTGATAAATCTCTAAGTATCTTTTTTAGTTACTTTTCTAGTTCTTTTTGTAAAATTTAATTTTATGCATATTTTTATTTATTAGATGATTAAATTAATTAGTTAATACTATTTCAATGTAATATATTGTTATTATTAATTTAAAGATTTTAATACAAAAATACATAATTATTTGAAAAAGTAGCAATCATTTTCAAATAAGATCAGAAAGAATGGTAGTTAATAAACAAGGAATCACTATTTAATATGATAATTAACAACATAAAGGTTTTATAATTGACAGTTCACAAACACTTCAGGATAAATAAGTTTTCCAAACTTGAGCTGTTAAACTTAGGTGATAGGTCCTTATCTCTTGGTGTCGCGCAATATTACGTGGTATATAGATAAGTAGGTAGTACAATTTGCTGTTGTTGTATCAAAAAAGTTCTTTTAGTCTCGTAGATCAGCGATTTCTAAAGTGGGTTCCGTGGAACTTAGAGGTTCTGTAAAAAAGTTACCAGGGTTCTGAGAAATTATTTATACAGTAAAACAATTTCATTCTTCATATTGAAAATTAAAGGAAACTATAAAGTGGTATACTTTTAAAATATTTCTAATAATAGCTTTTGTTTTTATTTAAATTACAGTGTTTTTGATTTGTAATCGTTTGATATGCATCATATTGTCATACATGTATGCAGTATATCACCTAAAATAAAAGATATTTATTTTCCGGCATAATGACCGTCCATTATCTCAAAAGATTAGAAACCAATGTCGTTGACAGTCCCAATCTTACCCTAAGTTTAGTATTCACATAATACACATAATAACAGCTGTAAAACTGTCTACATATTTTTTTACAGCCAAAGAAATCTATTAGTATAGCAAGATGAAGAATTAAATATGATTCTCCATAATAATGGAGTAATTATCGTAAATATTTTTTGTCAAGGAATTAAATTTGTCTCTCATTTTACGGGTGCACGGGTTTTTATTACGACAAAATCATTTGATGCCTTTAAAAAAGAATACAAAGATATTTATTGATCATATTTCTGATTTCCTTCTATAAAAGAATTATAATTTCGTGGAAATATTGAATGATTATGATACCAATATGCATGATTTTAAATTATTGGAAAAGATTCATAGATATATTTTTAGAATTAGCAAATATATTGTGTAATATAAAAGTTATCGTTGAATAATAAATACAATTATTAATAAATTAATTAAATTATTAATAAGTCAGGTCGATATAGGATGTAGTAGTGACGATTATGTTCATAACATCTGAAGTAGGAAGTTTCGTATTTCCAACGAATGGATTGGCTCATTATTTGCATTTTACAGGAGTAAATACAACGTCGACCCCAAATAATAATCGAGACAAGGGTAGGAGGATGACGACAGGAATACATATAATACATACATACATATCTGTCACGCCTGTCTTCCATTAGGGTAGGCAGAAACAATGGAACGCCAAATGCTTCGAATACATATAAATAAAATTATATTAGTAACTATACAATAAAACTTTACAAAACCAGCAGTGTTTGTTTACAGTCAAATGAGTTGTATCTTTATTTGTTCTAATGGCATGAAAAAAAAATCTCTTAATTTAAACAGGTACGAATGGTTCGAAGAGCTGGATCTGCGTTGGTATGCTTTACCAGCAGTGTCCAACATGCGCTTCGATTGTGGCGGCATTGAGTTCACGGCAAATGCATTCAACGGTTGGTATATGAGCACGGAAATTGGATGCCGCAACTTTTGCGACACTAACCGACTGAATATGTTGGAGGTATGTAAGAATAGATATTGAGTATTAAAAAATACAGGAAGTTAGAGGATGCAGTTGGCTCAGGACTATTTTTTATAGCAGTCTGTGAGAAAAGCCTATGTTCAGCAGTGGTCAGTTAACGGCTGATATGTTGATGATGATGATGATTAAAAAATACACGTGTCTAAAGTAGCAAGCAATTTAGCTCACAAATCAAATAAAATATATATAAAAGAACTAAGGACCACTGAAGACATTACACAGCGGCGTTTAGTCTCAAATTAAGCAAAGTTTTTATTAAATAATACGTTATATTTTATATAAATATAATAAAATCAACTCATTTTCTAAACATCAGAATCTGACGATCCACCTAATATTCCTGAGGACTTCGGTGTTATATTTTCATATCCTGTAATTTCACTGTCATATCCGACTCTTTAAATTGAAATACAGTCATACAAACAGGCTTTGACAGCAAACGCAAACGATTTTGGAAAGTTTCCCTCCAGCACAACATAAAAAACAGAATTATAGCATGTATAGTGCCTCTATTGCATTTCTATATAAATGTACTTATTTAGTTTTCAACCGCTAATTTTAAGTCTATATCTTTATCTATCTCATATGGTACATGTATACCCAATTTCATAGAGATTGGGGCTAAGAGCTAACATACAAACTCACTTCCACATTTATAATATTGTAAGAATTATTGTTTTTCTACAGAAAGTTGCTCAAAAGATGGGTTTGGATACAAGAACGCCTGTGAACCTGTGGAAGGACAAAGCCCTCGTCGAAGTGAACGTGGCTGTATTGCATAGTTTTCAACAACAAAATGCAACTATCGTCGACCATCATACAGCTTCTGAGAGTTTTATCAAGCATTTAGATAATGAGAACAGGCTGAGGTAGGTATTTGATTACTAGTACCACAGCACACAGCTTGCATACAAAAATAGATACCATTGAGTAAAATACCTTAAATTCTAACATACCATAATTAAGGATTTAAACAATAGAATTTTTGTGCAATATATTATTTATTTATTCAGATTTAGCAATGAGTATTTTTAAGAATTAGTATTACTGAAACATTTACTTTTGGATTGAGATTGATTCTAACAATTTTTGTAGGCTATCATGGAAAAATATATCGATAATTGTGTACGTAAAAATAGAAAGGACGGACTTAGGAAGGACTTTTTAGGACTTTTTTATCATTTTGTAGTTCATTTAATATATAATTGGTAAATATTATTAATTTTTTAAGTATTATAATTATTATAACATTGATATGGTGTGGTTATTACGATTTTATAATAATTGATTAAAGACATATAACGTACTTTCTGGATTTTATTCCAACTGAATACATTATTAAAAAAAACTACCATAAAATTAAAAGGTAACTGTATAGAGATATAATTTGTTAAATTAAATATTTGTATGTCATAAAATACCTTATATTTACTAATTTCGTCATGTGATGTGCCAGCCACCCGGAACTCTTTGAATGTAAACGATTCATTTTTATGAGAACGTTATAATTTTGTTATTCATAAGCTATATGAGTATATGAACAATTCATGAGTTCCTATAACCTCTTTAAAGGCAACCAACTGTACTTTGAAGCTATAAAAATTTCATCACTAGGTCCTTGCGTATTGTTATATCAAGTACTAATAAAAATAAACAGATCTTGAGAAACATCTGCAGATTATATCATGCGAATGTTTTGACTGAATACCATCATTGTGTATGGTAATACTAGATTAAGTAATAAAGATACTAAATGCATTAATAGTAACAATTCACAAGCAGTTTCCCTTACATATGGTGGAAAAACTAATGATCTTTGAGAACTAACATAAATATGATAATTTAAGATTTTTTAGCTACACAAAACATTTATAGGATATGGATTATGCACATATGGGGTTATTGTGTTTGTAAATCTATCTATTTTAAAATTAATTATCAAACTTGTTTTAGAATTGGCACAGGTGGAACAAAAAATAACTTTATTCAGTCACTTAAAAATTGCCAAACGTATAAGCTATTTTTCAAAATAGATGAATGTATTAAAATCTTTCAGTAAACATATATGGTTAGGGAAGTATTGATGATTATAATAATTAACCTTCCTAAATGGTAAAATCAAAATATAATTTTAGGTCTGGATGTCCCGCTGATTGGATATGGATTGTACCACCAATGTCATCTTCTATCACGCCAGTGTTTCACCAGGAAATGGCATTATATTATTTAAGACCAGCTTATGAATACCAGGTCAGTTAAAATTTCATATATAATTTTCGTCTTTAATTTACAAAGAGATCTGTTTAGGAACTGTTAGGTGATATATACAACTGTGGTGGTAAACAAGCATATGGCCACGGTAAGCGGCTATTACACATATCTGGTTTTCTGATCCTCTCTACGAGCTCGAATTTACGGGTCCGGTAAAAAAAAAAAAAAACTTATTGCCCGGATATACTTTTTTGGTAGTTCTGAGTCGCGTAAATGGTAGTGACTCGTCCTCGCTATTGGATACGGGTACCCGGTTAAAGAACTTTTAAGTGCAAGCCAAGGTAAAGTAAATCCAACATGGAACTAAACTAAACACGATTGAAACCATTTTAATCCCTATGGATTTTCATCCAAAAATTTTCAATTCCAAATTTCAATATATTACGTTCAAATGGTCTTGTTATGTTTTTGTTCCTATTTGTATATATTTGTTTTGGTATTATAATTACATTTTTGATAATTTATAATAGTACAAAAAATATATTTTCCTGTTCATAAGAGGAACAAATCTTAATTCACCATGAACCTCAAATTTTTTCGAAGTATACTATAACATAGTATGGTAAGGCCTTAATCTTTAATTTGTTAGTCATAACATTTGCTGTACTCAAGTTGTATTAATTATATACTCGTATATTATTTGAGTTCATTTTTTGTTAGTTTTTTGCATTAGTTTTACAATAAAAAATTAATCTATAGGAGCCGGCTTGGAAGACTCACCAATGGCAAAAATCAAAGCCGATTACAGGCAAAAGACCCATAAATAGAAAGTTCCATTTCAAGCAAATAGCGCGGGCAGTGAAGTTTACATCGAAGCTCTTCGGCCGAGCTCTTTCTAAAAGAATAAAGGCGACAGTGTTATACGCTACAGAAACAGGGAAATCGGAACAGTATGCTAAGGAGTTAGGAGTCATTTTCGGACATGCTTTTAATGCACAGGTAACTTACATTAACATACTATATAAATTAATATTCTACATAATTGATAAAACCCTTATCGTTTTATCATAAAAAAGTTGAAGTTGTGATAGATTGAATACATGTTTAGATGACTTATTACAAAAGCCTGTCTAACATCTGTTTACTCGTATGCCTAAATAAAGACAATATAAGCTATTTTATAAGAAATTAATGAATTCAATATGATATAGATATTGGATACCAAATGAAGATAAGTTTAAAAAATAATAATTTTATTAGTCAGCATCAAATATATTTGATTGATATTTTTGTAGGTACACTGTATGGTAGATTACGACATAACGTCAATAGAACACGAAGCATTATTGATGGTTGTAACGTCCACTTTTGGAAACGGTGATCCGCCAGAAAACGGTGTGGTGAGTACGTATACTATAATAGGTACTAGAAAATGTTATTATTTTAACTAATATTACGTCTAAATAAAAATTTACTGCAATCAGTTCAGTTACATTTTATAATACTTTAGAATTATTCATAAAAGACACATAATACCTTATGAATTTATATCATATATTTGTGTATAGTATTATATGTATATGTGTGCGTATTTTGATAATAAATAATATTTGGGAATACTGCGCAAGTATAAAGGCAGTAAATACATTTTTTTTTATTATTGTTAAATTTGAATGCTGTTAATATGAAATAAAAATAAAAGTTGGTTGAAAGAAAGTACAAAATCCGAACATCTAATTTACCAGGGAGACTTTGTACAAAAGTCATTTGCTTGGGCACCTCTGTCCCATTAATGTTTCTACGGTGAAGCAGTTGTGTTTGCATGGCTATGTTTCGGTTTGAAGGGAAGAAGTATGGCAGTGAATTTACAGAATACACAGGGATAACACCTGAGTTCTCAGGAATGGCAACGCATGGGGGTATCATGGGCGAAAAAGTACACTCTGTTATGTCCATGGTACTGCTCATGTCTATAGGCGACAGATACCACTTTCCATCAGGTGGGCTGTTAACTTATTTGCCATTCTAAGTAACATAAAAGAAAGCAGAACTCTGTGAGTATTAGAAAATTGATAGATACAAAAAAGTGTACAGACCAATACAAACAGAGAATACAAAATGTTTTTACTATGGAGATTATGCCTAAGATGATTGAAAGGTAGTGTAATAAATCTCTAATCTAATTAGGTTACAACTATAAAATTCCCCAGTTTTTAGAGACTTATAATTTCAAGTGAAACAATTAATATTTACTTGAGCTTGAGTTAATTAAAAATGAATGAATAATGATTGGTATTATTTTTAGGCTTTTGCTGAACATCTCTGTGAAATTTTATATGCTGATCAAGTTGGAGACGATATGACTGGGTGAGTTTTAAAACTGTTTAAATATATTTCATTATTATAATTTTTTTGGGTCTTTTATCATATCCACAAACAATACAATGTGTACTGTACGAAATATTTTCAAAGTAACAATTTACAGTACTATTTGAGTATGTTTAGTTTTGAATAAAATAAGCCTACGTCAATTACAGGAATGTTCAAACGCTCACTCCAAAAACTTTCATAAAAGCTAATAGTCAGATGGAATTCCAAAGATACACATCTGGTACTTCGAAAAAGTTGAGCCGACTGGAATCATTAAAAGGTAATATAGTGAAATAGTGAATCTGGAACTATGTATTAAAACTATAATTTAAGGTTATAACCTAGTATTTTATACTTTCATATATCCTGTAAAATCCTGTCCAATAATTTTAAAATAATTTAATAATGAATATCTTATCATTCCTTATAAATTGGGCTATCTTTGTGTAAAGTTTCATTCAGTTTATCCAAAACATCTAATACTAACTTGCACACTAACTTTTTCATATTTAATTTATACTCGGGGTAACACCGGTTTATTTCTACTTATTCTATTTTAATATAAATGAATAAAAAAAAAAAAATGTGTGAACTATAAGTACAGTTCCATGGTACACCTATTTCTGATAATATTGTTTACATTAGAAACTTTTAGGAAGTTGTCCGAAATGAAACAATACTATGTTTCATAGAATTATTTCATTTCAGTAGCAATATAAGCAAATAGTAGTAGTAAATAGCAGAAACAGAATACATACTGTTAGATATCTTGTGATCAGTATTCAATGACTTTATGTTTTTTTGCGTATTCTTTTTACAAAATAAGCTTAAAGATCAGTAAATCAATTTCTGTATAAAACGCAAAATCGTACAGTTCATTCGGTTGAATGAACACACTATATTCATTTATAAATCCAATAATATTGCAGGAAGTGTTACAGACGCCACATCAATCGACAGTTTTGGTCCACTGAGCAATGTTCGTTTTGCTGTGTTCGCCTTGGGCTCTAGCGCCTACCCGAATTTTTGCAACTTTGGCAAATATGTCGACAAACTATTGGGTGATCTTGGAGGGGAACGAATCCACGACCTTGCGACCGGCGATGAGATGTGTGGTCAAGACCAAGCCTTTAGGAAGTGGGCCTCTAGCGTGTTTAACGTGAGTTTGTTAAAATAGTGTGATAAGTTGTTTAAACAACAAAAACTTTAGTTATTTTTACTTTTAGCTATTATAACTTGGATGTTGGTGTTTACCAGATTTTAATAAGAAAAGTAATTTAAAATTTTAGCCGTTGACCATTATAGTAATAATTACGTAATTCAAATATTGCTACTGTGTCAATATTGTTTTTATTAGTCGAGAAATTGGTAACATTTGTTTGGTTTCTAGACATTTTTCTTTTCAAAATTAAAACAATATTATACAATATAATCAAAGATAAATTATATTAAAACAATATATTACAGCTCAATTCCTTCCTCTTACATTCCTATATATTCATATTATACCATGGGTATCGTAAGAGATGACTAAGGGTACTTAATGGTCAAGAGATGGACAGCAGCGTTCCTCTTAAAATATCATCAAAATCTAATGGCGATTACCAACTCGCCTGTCTAGCGTGGTAACTAATGGCAAAACACCCCAATAAAGCGATGGTCTATATTCAGCAGTGGACAGTTAACGGCTGATATAATAATAATAATGACAGCAAAATAGTGCAATTAGAATATCCGAGCATAAAAACTATTAAATATACAGTCAGCTTACATTTATCATTGATATTTGTTATCAAAGTCTTTAAAATATGTAAATTTTCTAAAAAAAAGGCATTATTATTATTTAAAGTATTAAAAAAACAATAAATAAACCTTTAATTTTGCAGGTTGCATGTGAAACATTCTGTTTAGATGATGACGAAACTTTACAAGAAGCTAAGAGAGCTCTAGGAAGTGTTGCTCTTAGTGAAGAAACAGTGAGGTTCACTTTACCGGTTGGCCGTGCACCCACGATTCCAGCTGCCTTACAGTCTGCATTGAATAAAAAATTCGTGACATGTATAGTAAAAGCTAATAAGGATTTAGGAGATGCTTCTGCTGAGAGATCTACCATATTTATCGACATGGAACCTAAGGTAAATAATTTATACAAGATTGTTAATCATAAATATATATCTAATAATAAGATTAATAGCCATAATCTATTATTTTAGGAGGAAATAAAATATGATCCTGGAGATCATGTAGGAATTGTCGCATGTAATCGTAAGGAGTTAGTGGACAGTCTATTAGGACGACTAAAAGATGTTAATGATTATGATGAACCAATGCAGCTTCAGTTACTAAAAGAAACTCATACTTCGAGTGGTAAGTAATTAAATTAAATTTATTCTTCAAAATTTTAAATTATAATATAAGATATACACTCATATAACTTGTTTTAAAAGGTCCAGTAAAATCATGGGAGCCTCACGAAAGACTTCCAATTGTAAGCGTGCGTGAACTATTCACAAGGTTTTTAGATATTACAACACCGCCTACTACGATTCTCTTGCAATATTTAGCAAAGACTTGTGAAAGCGAAGAAGAAAGGAAACAGCTTAATCTACTCGCAACGGTTTGTGTTTTAATAATATCTCGTTACGATATATTTTATAATTTATAAATAGACTAGCAGTTCATTTGACAAAAATTACTTCAGGATCCTGCGGCGTATGAAGATTGGCGTCATTTCCACTTTCCAACCTTGCCTGAAGTTTTAGAGCAGTTTCCATCTGCCAGACCTAGTGCATCACTTATTGCTGCATTATTATCTCCTCTGCAACCAAGATTTTACTCAATTTCGTCATCACCAATTGCTCATCCTAAAAGATTACATCTAACTGTCGCTGTGGTAACATACAAAACTCAAGGTTAGTTATTATAAAATAAAATCATAATGTACAAGAATAAGAATATTTATAATCAAGTAAACCTAATTATAAGAATTTGGAATAGGTATTATTTACGATTATACCACTTAGTTCGAATGTAATTTCAACAGAAAAGAACGAGCGAGAAACAACCGTTGTTGTTTTACAAATCTGTATTAAGTATTAGCATTTTAATGCTACTAAAAATACTTATAAGCTTGGTTTATATCATATCTGAGCTTGTGCGCATTAATATGATACTTCTTAAAGTTTTCAACAAATTTATTGCCAACAACACAAATTACGTTACTAAACTAAATAAAGTAGGCGAATTTGTAAAAAAGATTTTTTAAAACAGCTTAATATTGGTTGTCATTATTATTGTATTCCTATTAGGATCTTTAAATTGTATTTATATTATTTTACGTCCGTATAGACGTTATTAGTAGGATTAATAATTAGTCTGTCAACTTGGTTGTATTATGATTGTTATAATACTATATTTTTTAATCCTAAAACTAGGTTACATGTGATAACAGGATGATGTTATGTTTACACAGATGGCGAGGGTCCAGTACACTATGGCGTTTGTTCAAATTATCTCATGGATCGTAAGTCTGGCGATGAGGTTTACTTATTTATACGAAGGTCTATATCCTTATTAAATAACATGTTATTGAATGTTTATGTTGATTGTATGTTTAGATTTTATATAATAAATTTAAAAATGTTTCAGTGCGCCAAATTTCCATCTTCCACAAGACCTATCCGTGCCACTAATATTAATAGGCCCAGGGACGGGTATAGCTCCGTTCAGGGGTTTTTGGCACCATCGAAGGGCTCTTTTAAACTCTCGATCACGTCAAAATGCTGGTCCCGTTTGGTTGTTCTTTGGCTGCCGAACAAAAACTATGGACTTGTATCGAGAAGAAAAAGAGCAAGCTCTCAAAGAAGGAATACTGTCGAAAGTATTCCTTGCTTTGTCTAGGGAGAAACACATTGCGAAAGTAAGAATTATTTAAAACTAGATGACAAAGCAAATGGAAATACAAATACATTTATGTAGATAGACATAAACATTCTTTTTACTTTATTCTAGATGTACGTCCAAGAATTGGCTGAGAAAGAAGGATTTGAAATTCATGATTTACTTATAAACAAAGGTGCTCATTTCTATGTCTGTGGTGATTGCAAAATGGCAGAAGATGTTCATCAAAAATTAAAGGGCATTATTAAAAAGCATAGCGGCATGTCAGATGACCAAGTGCAGAGTTTTATGTTTATGTTAAAGGTAAAATATTATTTCTGACATAAGCATAATCAGTATAAATAAAGTGATAATGTAATGGGTAACAGTAACGTAATGGATTGGTTTAAACATTGATATGCTTCAAACTTTGTTATATTCTATTCTATAATTATTGTACAATTATTAAAGTTTCCATATTATGTAAACAAATCATTTGGAATTTAGCAATTGTTTTGATCTAATTTCTTTTAATATTTAATGTTACAATTTTTAAAATTTAAAGTAATTTGTTTGGAATCGCTTCTTATTTTCGATTTAGGAGGAGAACCGTTATCATGAAGATATCTTCGGAATCACCCTTCGCACAGCGGAAGTCCATAGCGCGTCCCGAGAGTCAGCTCGTAGAAACCGCGTTGCATCACAACCATGACGCCGGTCCTCTCGTTTTCGTCCCAACACCCTTACTTAACCTATTAAGTAGGAACTTGTATCAGCTCGACTGTAAGTAAACTTGGCTTAATCAATTTTAAACAACGTTTAGAAATTCACACAACGATAATAATATTAAAGTGGCTTAATGTTATCTGATTCTTGCATAAAAAATATATTTCAAAGTTTGAATAGTTTGGACAAAGAGTAGGACCTTTCGAGAGATGGTTAGTCAAGTTTATCAACTACCACTAAACTGTTATTCATATCTTATAAATTTACCTGCTTTACGTACATTTCACTAAAATACTTTGACCGAACTATCAGGTAACATTTTGAAATTACAGTTTATATCTTGACAATTAAGCTTAATGTCTGTAAATTGGGTCTGCTTTTAATGCTTGGAAGATTTGTATGTTAGTATATAATTCAATTTTATTTTAAAATGGTACATACGTCACATTTATTCTACATTGAGTAGATAAAGACATTATTTATTTTTATCTCTAAAACCTGTTCTATAAAATTACATCATCTTCCACAGATGTGTGCTCGATATTTTGAAGTTACCATTATTTAAATAGGAGTCGTTAATATTGATGATAAAGATTTAATTTCGTGGTTAATTAGTTCCAAGTCAATTAAGTCGTCTCCGTTATCGAATCGACTTTGGCTGCGGTCAAGTGAATTTATTAAGACCAATGTGGTCAGTACAGAGGTTGTGCATTATAATATGGGTCCTTCATTGTATATAGTCCCGAAAATTATCAACCTCATAAATTTTACTAAAATAAAAATATTTATTTTTCGCGAAGGCAGTTTCTGTATAACAACAGAGTTCTAAGCAGGGTGACACTATTATTATTATATATTATATTAAACATTGATAACGCACAAAATGTATTTTGTCTCGTGTTAAATTTTCTCAATGGCTTCATTAAATTCGCGAAATTGCATAACATAATATAAGAATTTATCAATAATAGATTTAAGATTTATTCCATTCAATGAAATAATTGTGATTATATTATAATACATTTTCATCGATGTCATTCATAATAGTAAATATTGTCCATTAAAGTTTATATATAATAAAATAAATATAATATTGTAATTATTATTAAATTTAGTTCAATTATCCAATTTTAGTTTTAAGCATTGTTTCCTTTTCTCTACACTTGTTCTATTGCATAGTTCTGTTGGCCAAATTATGCTAGAATTATAATGCCAGTCATACTGTTGCCATATGAAATATTTCATACTGCACTTATGTACACTTAAAACGTAAAGAGCACTTTCTCATTTAAATATTAAGTAATGCCTATTCTTTAAAAAATATGTAGTTATATTGTTTACACTTTTCGGCTGTGGCTTGATTTGTATAACTGTCCTGTGGTCCCGTTGGTAAACTTGGAAATTTATATACCTATATAGTATAACTTATATACTATAATAACAAACTTTGTTATTTATCTTACAAATTATAAAAAAAAAATGAACAATATTTTTGTTTGTAAATTCGCAATAAGATTCTTATTAAATTATTCAAGCATGAAATTATCGATTTTGATGGTTGAAGTATTTGGAAACGCTATAAGCGATTTATTCTATGATTAAGGTATTAGTTTGCTATCAGAGCATCTATTAAATGATGGTCTAGTCAAATTGATACCGCGACGCAGTGATAAGCATTCGGTTTGGGTAAATAAGGTCCCGGGTTTAGGAAACGAACTTCTCTAAATAGGCTCGAGTCTCGGTATCTTGGATTGTGCCTCCAAGCGTGTCCTCATACGAGATTGTGTGGTATTTACTTGTTATTATTTTATTTATTGAAAATTGGTAAATGACACAGTTGTATTATAGATAGATTTTTAGATGAAAAAAACCAGCAAAAATTGAAGTAGAAAGAGAAAAAAGGAAGATCTCTAACATCACCTTTACTAAACGCGTCTTTGGAATTAAATTTTATTTAATAATCAACAGAACTATGTAATAGAACTACTTGAGACCAAACATTTTATTTAAGTTAATAGTTAATACAACGATGATCTTTTATGTAAGAATAATAATAATTTCATTGCCAAATCTTGTACAAAGCGTGCTATTATAATTAGGTTAATTTGTGCTATTGTAAATAAAACTTGTCTAAGTTATATTGCATCGATTAAAAACAATTTTATTTTTGTATTAATATCTATTATGTCTATATTTTATTTTGCTTTAATTTTCGTCTTGTTATAGAAATATATATGTGGGTTACATTTGATAATTTTTAACTAGTTTCATGTAAAATACAGATAATTTATTATTAAACAGAAAATTAAAAGAAAAAATGTATGTATACTGTGACTATGTAATACCTGATATGACTTTCAAAGAAATTTTTGTGTGGATGTCAACTTTGTGATTATATAGTTAGTAATAAGAAATGTATTCATATTTTCTATTATTATTCAAATTAAAATTTAATATACAAAGTCTTTTCTGATAATATAAATATTATATACATTTAAATAACTGTCTTTACCGGATATTTACAAATTACGGATTTCATATCTTTTAAATTTAATCAAATGCACATTTTGAAACTATAAAAAAATAATGTTATCGAAATTCATATCACATAATGAATTAATAATTAAATACCTACGCACTATTTCATCTATTAGTGAAACTGTTTGCAAGTATTAAAAAGGCGAAATGTCAAATATAAAACAAAATTTATCTGTTATTGATCAAATAAAGTTCCTTCATATTCGAAAAAAATATTTGTGTTTAATTACCCTTATCTTAGAGCAAAAAAGAACTATTATAGTAGTAGTGGCGTGTACATATGTAGTAACTTTCCAAAAATATTACTGTATATAGTAATATTCTATATATAGTAATATTCTGAATAATATAAAAAAAAATTATAAAAGTAGAATGAATGAATATTGAGTTTTTACTCATATATATGTATTGACAAATCACATAACAATCATAAAAATAAATAAAATAGATAATAGAGAAATAGACCAAACTTTGAACAATTTTTTTTATTGTAAGTAAATTTTCTCAATTCGTTTCTACTCGTATGTTATGTGAATTGTCAAAAAGATGCTTTCTGATCTCAAAAAAAAAATAGGTTTAGAAGATGAGGAAGGGTCCGAGGCTAGATCAGTATCACAGGAGATTATTATAGTTATTAGGTATACGTACTTCTATTAATATGGCAAGGCGATTGCCCTAAACCACTTTCATTTTCTCAAAGGTATAGGCGTGGCGTGTATCTTAGATATGTATCACGATGTTATCTCAGATCGGCGTCAAGGCCCAGTCTTTATCTGAAATATAAAATCTATAAAGGCATATAAAAGTGTAAATTGATTGTCTCACCAACGCGCAGCTGGTTCTAAAAATTTTACACAAGTTATATACATAACCTAATATAATATAATAATAGTATATAATATAATTTAAGTATTAAGAAAAGACTTTTTTAATTCTCACGAGAAATGAAAATGAAGGCGCTGGTGAAGCTATATATATATATATATATATATAGCAACATATATAAAACAGCAAATTTTCTTATAAATTTTTTCATATAAAGCTTCGAGTTCCTTTAGGCGTTATAGTTTGAAATTATATATCTTATTAAATATAGTATGAGCATGATATTACAAAAATAATAATGTATGCGCTCCTCTTTTAATGGTTGGGTTTTTCCAAAGGACCTGGGGAATCCCAACCTGTGGCACTATGTACTCATTCTTGCAGAGGTTATAGTTTCTTTCATAACGTTATATTCGTCTTGTAAAGTATTATTCTAAGTATAGTTTATGACCTTTTGAATTGGCCACCATCATTTTCAAAAGGAATCACTACAAAAATGTCATAACGAATAAAACACATACATTATAATAGCATAAGATGTATGGTTGAAAAGCATAACTGACATGTATTTTTAAGCTTGCAGTGATATCTTTTAAATACCTACAAATAACCCAAAGACAGACATTCCTATCAGCTGTTAACTATCCACTGCTGAACATAGATCTTCTCTATAAGGTGGTTTTGCCAGTAGTTGTCACGCTTGATATGCGGATTGCCAACCGCAGCTAGGTTTTGGAGATGTTTTAAGAAACCATCCCTCGACCATTATGTTCCCTTTGTTACCTCTTATAACAGCTACGGGAATGGAAGCGGTGGCCTATTCTATACCGGGACCACACGACACAGAAACAGATTGGGGGGAAAGGGATTGTTAGCAATGGAATTTGACAGCCCCATTGCTAGCAATATGCCCTATTAGGCCGACCTCCACGTGGTTCCCTCTGGAAACCATCGTGAACAATTCTTTTGAATTCGTCACGATGGGCTAATTGATCTGTTTCATCGTTACCTATCATCCTTCACTGGTGCCCCGCCGGTGTATACCGATAGTGCGGGTAGGTTTACCTTTCCATTATTAACTATTAAAAAGGGCACAAAGACAAATATGGGTAGCTCTAAATCTTGAACGGTCCAATAGTCATTAGCTAATTATTGAGATCGTAGTTAATTATGTGAGCCAATGCTTTATTTAAATAAAAGAAACATATGATCAAACAAATAAAAAAAAAATAATGGTGATCTTGACTATAGTTTGGGTAAAAGTTAGGCTTAATAATAAATAATTAAAATAAATATGAAATCCTTGCTAATATTATCAATATAAAAGTGAGTTGTTTGTTGTGTTACCTTAATAGTTTAACCAATCACTATGAAATTTAGTATACTTGTACTGTATGGATAGAGATGGATATAGGCTTGATTTTTTATGTTAGTTAGTACCTAAATATATCCTTGTCACGTGATCGAAGTCGCGGGTGAAAGCTAGTATAAACATGGCGGTACGTACATCCCGCTAAGTCCGCTATGTTAACATTACATATCAGTTGACCTTAAGATTATTTATTTATATTTGATCCTTAATGCGGATGGACGACCGTTCACGTAGTCCTGCGATGAATAACATTTTAAGCTTTTCTTCTAAGAAATTTGTGACTGTAAAAGAAAACCGCAGTGACATGCACCGAGATAGAATTTGTTATGACGTATTTAATTTTGAACGTGTAATTCTTGTGAATCTATACATTTCCTAATGAGAAAACTGTTGTCATAGAATTTGTAAATGACTACGTTTTGCCTTTCAAATAGTATAACTATTACTAACAATTTATTTAGTAATTTGTTATTCAAAGGTATTATCGTATTTTAAATTCAACAAAGTTATAACAACAATTCTCTGTCTGCCAGTTAAGTTTTCTGCTTGTAATATTTCATTAAATATTACGTCTTGAAATAGTAAAGGCAAAGCTGTGACTTTTAAAGTATTATTTGGCAGAATTATAGGATAAAATTTACAAGATGTAGTTGTTACTCGTTACTCAAGTCTGTACAGAATATGGTAATTTCAAATCTTCTTATTTACGATAGATCCATATACTTATACTTGTAAAGAGTCCTGTATTTATTATCTATAATTTAAGTTTGTGTTCCCCAAAAACCGTCTTCAATTGTGGCAAAACCAGTCATTTTGATTTCAAAACTAAAGTACAGAACCGATTTCGATATTTTTTATGGTAACAATCTGTAAGTATATCCTTTTAGATAAAAAAGATTTTTCTAAATTGGTTTACAACTGACAGAGTTATGATGTAACAAACATAAAATCTTCTTTTTGAAGTAGGTTGAAAATATTTGGTGTTACTAGCGAAACAATATCTTGTATCCTTGTAAATGTCAGTTTGGGTATTTATACGATTACTTCCTTGCCTTATCGTTTCTCTATTTACTTTCAAATCAAATCATATTTATTTGCATGCTATATTGGTAAAATAAGGTGTTAATATATGAGTAAGTACATAACATGCAGCACCTCTTAGAGGTATGCAAATAATAAATTGTATTTGTTGTAAATTCTTTTTAAATATTTTGAGATTCGGTAAGCTCTTAAACTCCTAACTGCAGAACTCTTTTTCTGGTGGATTTTCCACTGAGATCTCAAGCGTAGATTTACCGGAGGACTTTGCTACGGACTCGTGTCGTATCGCAATTTAATTATATTCTATTTAAAAGCTTTTTTTATGTAACTTAAAATGGCAAACAAGCTGACGGCCCACCTCATGGAAAGTGGTAACCGTCGCCTATAGACATGAGCAGTACCATGGACATAACAGAGTATACTGTTTCGCTCATTATATTCCCTATGTGTTGTCATACCTAAAGACATACCTGAGGACTCAGCTATTATTCCTCTGTACCTTGTAAATTCACTGCTATATTCCATCTTTTAAACCGAAACATAGCCATACAAACACAACCGCTTCACGGTAGAAACACGAATAGGACAGAGGTGGCCAAGTAAATGACTTTTGTGCAAAGTCCCCCTCTGGTGAAAGGTGAAAGAAATATGCCGAATATTGACGCTCTGTAGTTACAAACCCGAAACCAATTATAGAATACATAATATAATACATAAAGGGTCCCTTGAATCCTTAGAGTTTGTCTGCATTTATCCTTTGATTTATTCTAAAAATAAATTCCAAATATACCTAAATCTGCAAAACTGTTACAGCACTGACATATATTGAGAAAATAAAATATTGTTTATTGGCCTAATGTATATATTCATTTTACCCTGAGTTGAATTGTTTATGATACTATCATCAGAATGATATCGGCCAAATCTTTCAGAATAAATTACCGTTCTATGCGAACGAAGAATACTGTAAGAAAAACATAATATTCCAATAAGGTGTGGAATAGCAATGAAATGTATACTTACGAGGACAATAGGTAATTCTATTGCTTGTCAAGTATTTAAATTTTAAAATGTACCGTAACTTATTATTTTATGGTTATTTGAGAAAAAAATATTAAACCTCCTCACGTATATGTTAGATGGGTAAATATTGAAATACTCAGATGTGCGTTGTGTAAAATATGTAGGTACGTATGTGTATAAATATTATTATTTTTACAAGTTACGTCTATTTTAAAGAACGTGATTAACAATTTAAAATATTCGTCATAGGAATAAAGCATAGGTCTGTTATTACTTATATATTGGTTTTATTGTTTTGTTTGTGATATCAAATAATTTGAGCTTCCTGCTTTCTGATATTTATTATTTTTATAGTATCGTATATTAGCTAGCCTTTCTTAGAGGATACTTACATTATAAAATAAACCTATGTTCTAAATAGCTTTCTATACTTTATCATTCATAAAAAATTTAGGTAGTTTTTTCTTTATAACATAACAACTTCCTACATACCTATTTTGCCTATTGAAATGTTTGGTCACTTTCAAATTAAAAGTCTAGTGCAAAAAAGATAAAACAGTTCTATAGCTAAAATAGGTTTATGAGAGGTTTGACATTATATGAATAAGGAAGTTAGCAGTTTTGACTGCGCATTGATAGGTAGTCAAGACAAACGATTTTATAATTATAAATGTATAGAAGAATATAGAAGAAACACAAAAAAGTAAGTAATTATCATGGAACTTTTTGTAATGGATTTAAACTCTATTATTTTATTTTATTTTTTGTGTTATTTAAGTGAAATAGTTTAATATGTTATTTTGGTTGATTAAAATTATTAATATATATTTAGTATTTGTAATTTTATTAATTATGTAACATTACAATCAGGCTTTACAAATTTGATCACTAAACGACGTTGGACATAACTGGTCGGGCTATTTAGGAATATGTACGAACTTTCCCAAATTTATGTAGCTTCGTATCCTACATAGAATCGAACATGGGTCTCCGTTTAAATTT